TCCCAGATGCTGAAACCGCTTGTGGAGAAGCGGCGTCGGGACCGCATCAACCGCAGCCTGGAAGAGCTGAGGCTGCTGCTCCTGGAACGAACCCGTGACCAGGTCAGTCCTTCTGCCATCCCCGGAACCCCCAAGCACTCCATTCTACCGTCCCAGGGCTTCCCACTTGGGTGGGAACACATCCTCCATTGGCGACCCTGGCCCCAAGGCATCCTGACCTGAGTCCCGTCCTTGGAATCCCATCCCAGACCCCCTCTTGCTCTCAGAACGCGATCTTCGTGGCCACCCTTCGGGTCTGTAAGTTTCACACCCGGCTTTGTAAATTTCACTCCCGGGTAGGGCAGTTTCAACCTTTGAGTCTGTAAATTCTTCCTCCTCTCCCCACCCCACCCCAACCCCGACCGGCCAGCAGTATGGTTAATTTCACTCATGGGGTTTGCTATTTCAATGAGGGGTTGGCATCATCTCCTCGGATTGGACAGTTTCGTGTCCGGGTGGTCGAGGACCGTTCTTGGTCATCTCCACTCCGCATTCGGTAGCGCGCTCGGTGGTCAGAGCGCAAACGTGATCCGGGGGCATCCCCAGCTCCCGCATCCCCCCTCCCTTCTTCCCCCTGCCACTTTCCCCCCTCTCTCCCCACCCCTCTCTGTCTTTGCGCCCTCCCCTCCTGTCTGTAGAACCTCCGGAACCCGAAGTTGGAGAAGGCAGAGATACTGGAGTTCGCCGTGGGCTACTTGAGGGAACGAAGCCGGGTGGAGCCCCCGGGTACAGCGCGGGGGTGGGGCAGCTGAGGGAGGGAGGGGGGATTCACCCAGGCCCGGGCCGGGGTAGGTGGGGTGGACCCTGCGGTGGACGGTGGGCTTGGGGAGCGGCAGGCTCTGCTCCGAGGCGAGGTTAATAACACCCGCGCGTGTCTGTCTCTGTCTCCCTCATTTTCTCCCTCTCTGCGTCCATCTGGCTTTCTGCTTCTGTCTGTGCGCCTGTCCGGCCTTGGTATCTCCGCGCCCCGCCCCTTCCCTTACCCCTGTTGGGCCCCTGCCCTCCTGTCTTCCCGCCGGCCTCACCCTCCACCGCGGCTCCAGGGGTTCCCCGGTCCCCAGCCCAGGACGCCGAGGCGCTCGCCAGCTGCTACTTGTCCGGCTTTCGCGAGTGCCTGCTTCGCCTGGCGGCCTTCGCGCACGACGCCAGCCCGGCGGCCCGTGCCCAGCTCTTTTCCGCTCTGCACGGCTACCTGCGCCCCAAGCCGCCCCGGCCGGAACCGGTAGATCCGAGGCCCCAAGCGTCGCGCCCACCGCTGGACCCCGCCGCCCCGCCGCCTGGCCCCGCGCTGCACCAGCGCCCCCCAGTGCATCAGGGCACCCCTAGTCCTCGCTGCGCCTGGTCCCCGTCCCCTTGCTCTCCCCGCGTCGGGGATTCCGGCGAGCCGGCGCCCCTCACCGGACTGCTGCCGCCGCCACCGCCGCCTCACAGACAAGACGGGGCTCCCAAGGCCCCGCCGCCCCCACCGCCCGCTTTCTGGAGACCTTGGCCCTAAGCTTTGGGGGGTGGGGGCGGGGGCTGGGGGTAGGGTAGAGACTCCAGCCTGAGGGCAGCAGAGGGACCCGGGCGTCAGGGCGAGGAGGTGTTGGGGAGGGCGGCGGGGCGCGCGGGCGCAGCGCGCGGGTGAGATGTGGTCTATATTAGAGTATCTATATAAATATATATTTCCCTGGTTCCTGTCCCTTTTCCCTGCCCCCATTGCGTCTAGGATTGTACCCTCTCTACCCCTGGCCTAGCGCCAGTCCTTTCTCGAGTCCCTAGTGCATGGAATAAAGTGGTTATTAAATCCCGGTGTGTCCCCGAGCCAGGGGCCTGCCTTTATCTCGGCGTCCACGCCCATTTTCCCTCCCCTTCTGTCTCCCGCCCCCCAGTCCTGCTCTCCATGGCCCAAGCCTCGGGGCAGACAGGTAAGTAAAGAAGCAGCGGAGACTGAGGTTGGAACTGAAAACTGGTGGAAAACACAGAGATAGGGTAGAGGGAGAAGGAATGGGAGCCTGTAAGAAAAAGCCGGATAAAAAGGAAAGGGCGGGGGGGAAAGTTTAAATAAAACCGACTCTGGTGGGATTCGAACCCACAACCTTTGAATCGCTCTCTCGTCACTAGAAGTCCAATGCGCTATCCATTGCGCCACAGAGCCACCTGGCGGGCGGAGGCATCTGACGGCTTACGGGTACTAGCATGGGAAAAAAGGGGTGGGAGAGGGGTGGAGAAGTGGGAAGGGGAGTGAGGGAATTGGGCGGGCGTGCCAAGAGTGCGTGGTTTGGATTTCAGAGGCCTGCCTCACAGAGGTAGTGGGCAGGTGAACCAGGTGGGAGTGCGGGCGCTCATGGGTATACGAAACAGGGAGAGAGTAACCGAATATGAGCGAAAGGGCGAGTACAGAGCTCCGGCTGCCCGTTTGGGAGATGTTTCCAGCCCAGGTGCACCTTCCTCCCAAATGTTGCCCCACCCATCCAAATAAACTCGTTCGTTGTAAATTTCTGTGTCGCTATTTTATTTTGTCTGTTTGCTTTGCCGTCAGTTGGTCCACAATCCTAAATCTCGATGGTTTCTAAAGAAGACCAACTTAATACAACCTTCCCCTATCTTACCTCTTTCCTCTACTATCTTAGGAGGACTGTGGAGAAAGTGCTTTTTCACGCAGGTAGCGTGGCCGAGCGGTCTAAGGCGCTGGATTTAGGCTCCAGTCTCTTCGGAGGCGTGGGTTCGAATCCCACCGCTGCCAGACCACAGTTTTTCTCGTTATCTACGCACCCTGTAAAAATTCATAAAGAGACCTTTTAAAATATTTCGTTTTATGAGAACTGCTGTTACGGGTCTCACCACTGTCTTCCCTCTGGTATTCCAGAGAAATCCTAGGTCTGCATCCTATCCACAATCCAAGACTTAATGGAAACTGCCGAAGTACTCATTTCTTAACTGATCTCCATTAAACACGTCCTCAAATAATATTCTTATCTCTCAAATTTTGCGCAATATGTTGTATATTTAAATGATTTACTGTGTGTTCTCTGAGTGATACAAGCTCCAATTACCTAGTCTGCGAAGTTCAAAAAATAGCGCCCTAGTTTGCTTTTCTTTTCACATCTTCTCGGATCATAAGAGAACCTCATATATGAAAATAATTTATAATAGAACATACTAATTAATATTCAGTGAAAAGAAGAAGGTTCCACCGAGATTTGAACTCGGATCGCTGGATTCAGAGTCCAGAGTGCTAACCATTACACCATGGAACCTAACTCCCAAATTATCTCTGAAACTTTATATACTATCGAACTTCCTGTTTTGTGTGTCTTCATACTGTATCGTTCACAGAAGAAGAAACTGCTGTCGGATAAGGCAAACACCGCTGTCGAGCACTTGAAATAGAAATCGAGATATAGTCTAAGTGTAAAATAAACACCATACGTAGAAGACAGTACAAAAAAAATTGTTAAAATTTCATTAACACTTTAAAACAATTGATTATATATTAACATGCTAAGATTTCGGATATATTGGGTTAAAAAATATGTTTTTGACATTAATTTCGACTTTTGATTTTTACTGTTTGTAACGAGGCTACTAGAAAATTTAAATTAGCATATATGGCTTGCATACGTACTGCTCTCTACTTCCCTTTTACGTATTCGTTCTGCGTTCTAAAACCTTGACGCACTTTGTAAAACTTTCTATTAAAACCAAGTAATAGTATACTTGTTATTCTCCTTTGTTTTGTTCGAAGGAATACTAATATTAACTGCACTCAAAAGCAAATAGCCATGTTCAGATTGGGAAAAGTGTAACGCCCGAACAGGGACTTGAACCCTGGACCCTCAGATTAAAAGTCTGATGCTCTACCGACTGAGCTATCCGGGCTCCTGCACACTCGTTCCTATCTAATCTTTAAGAGTGTTGCTTTTGCGAAATTCCAGGCTAGCAGAACAGCCAGGGAATTCTATATATGGGAGAAGAGGACTCAGGCATAGATCCCGAAGAAGCGGGAAAAGGCGGGAGACTGCTTATCGTGCTCCTTATCCGGCCTTTCTCGAAGACAGCTCCTGCCAAGTTTGAGACGCTGCGGTGCCAGGACTGGCCGCGCGGGGCCGCTGCTGGCTACGGGCTTCCACCACCAGAAGGTTCCTTTCCCAATCTGGACCACCTAAATCTCTGGCACCCTCGTTCCCGCCCACCCGCCGGAAAGCTGAGCGCAGGCCGGGAGTGTAAAGAATGCCACTTTGGACCTTCAGAAGAAGTACGCCCGAGTCCACTTCGGTCCCCTGACTGTCTCCATTGAAAAGGAGAGATTGAGATAGGGCGTGCCAAAGATCGGGGACACAGTGGGCCAGGAGTGGGGATGGTGGTGCAGTGTACGGGGTAACAGGAGAGTTGTTTCTGACCCCCATGCAGTGTTCAGGTTTGGGTGTGCGACTCTCCTGCGTGTGGCTGTAATCACGTGTGATTTATGGTTGAGTGTGACTTGTATAAAATGATTCATATGGATGATTCACAAGTAGGAATGTGGGTGCTCTGTGCCGAGTTGTGGTTGAGAGAGGAAGAAAGGGTCTTGTGGGGAAGTTGGGACGTGGGCAGATGAACAAGGGCCCCAGACCATCAATAAGGCCCCTGAGCAGCAGGAGGGCAATGTCCCAATCATACAGTCGTCACCTACTGTCTCTTTCTCAGCACTTGGTTCCTCCCTTCCCAATGGGGCGAGGGCTCCTGATATCCATCTGGGTGAGTCCTGTCCTGTCAGCCAGAGGGACTGGCTGTGCCAGAAGCAAGCAAGCAATTATTAGGGTTCAAGTGTGGGCGAGGTGAGGGAACCCTCAGTGAGCCAGGGCAGATACCAGGAGCTTCGGGAGAGAGAGATCATCCCAGAGAGAGCTTGGCCTTTCCTCAGAGGCCTACCCAGCCCCCTATATCCCTTACCCAGTGGCTCAGAGCCCAGCAACTCAGTCCTGCTGGGCCTGCGGCTCACCTTCAGGCCAGCTGCTGCTGGGGCTAACCTTGCCGGGGGTAGGGGCGTCCCTCCTTTCCCCCATCATGGCCGTTTACCGCGTGCGTGTGACCACTGGTCCCTACCTGGGGGCCGGCACGCTGGACAATATCTCCGTCATACTGGTGGGCACGTGTGGTGAGAGCCCCAAGCAGTTGCTGGATCGCCTGGGCAGGGACTTCACTCCTGGATCGGTGAGTACAGAGAGGGAGGAGCGACCCCTGAGGTGCAGGGCGGGCAGAGGACCCTGAAGGAGGGGAGGATGTTCCCTTCAGGGCTCATCAAATCTAGATGCCGGCGCTGACCTCCTCACCATCCCTGTTCTAGTCCCTGTCTTTCCTGGATATGATAAACCTTACCCAGGCAGGGCTGTTAAGGAGCCCTGGACAGGAGGTCAGAAGAATTTTGCTGACTTCCTAGCTTCTCCTCTCATAACTGAAGGTGGGCTTTGGGCAAGTAGCTTGAACTCCCTGAGTCTGGATTTCCTCTTCTCTGGAGAGGATCTGCCTGCCTCTGCCAGGCCTCAGGATTGTTTGCTGGTGGGTCTTGGGGGGAGGGGGGAGTGGGCCTCCAAGTGGGCTAGTAAAATCCAGAACTCACTCTGCTTATGGTAGCTGTGATTGCTTCTGCCTGGATGAAGAGGTGGCTTCTTCTAATTCACACAAAGGCACCACATGGGTTAGCAGTAGCTCAGGTTTCTATGCCAGAATAGATGTAGGTATAAATGCACCTTGCAAAGTGCAAGGACAGTCTTGGCAGTTCCTTGCCTCTAACCTGCTTGTTCTCTTGGTCCTCAGGTGCAGAAGTACAAGGTGCGCTGCTCAGAGGAGCTGGGTGAGCTCTTGCTGCTGCGTCTACATAAGGAACGCTATGCTTTCTTCCGCAAGGACTCTTGGTACTGTAGCCACATCTGTGTCACTGGCCCTGATGGTACCCTTTCCCACTTCCCCTGCTATCAGTGGATTGAGGGCTACTGCACCGTAGAGCTACGACCAGGAACAGGTAGGCCAGAGTCAGGGGCTGGCTTGTGCTGCAGAAGGTCTGTTGGGACTAGGGGTGATGTCTCCCAGAGCCCAGGGTATAGGGAACAGGGTTGGGGTTAGGGTAACTGGAAGTCAGGGCTCCCAAGTAGATGCTTTCTGAAAAAAAGTGAGCCTCTAAGACTCTGAAGTTCAAGGGCTTTCTGGGCAGTATTTACCCCTCTGGTGACACAGTGACTAGACATGCACTCATATACACTCACACCACCCAGACACAGACACAAGCACACACAGATGGCCGTTTGCTTTCCGCTGACTCTCCCTGTACTTCCCCAGAGTGAATTCCTCTGGAGCCCAGAGAGGAACTAACCTGCAAGCTGAGTAATTGGATTTCAACAGGTAGAGAAGCCCTGAATGTTGAGAGAATTTAGCTAAAAAGGCCCTGTCAACTACTACCAGCTTTTCTGGTGTGGATGAAGTTCCAGTGAGGTGCTGTTAGGATTTCTTATTGAATTTGGGGGCCTTTCAAGAACACTGGGCTTGAGCTTTTTCAGCCTCTGAACTCTCATATCTCCTGAGCTGTCTGATCTGAAGAGGCAAGACTAGGGCTACTCTAAGGTTTGAGATGAGTCTTAAGGGTGAGAGACGCTATTCTAGGTCAGGGTGAAGTGAGTGAACATTGTCCCTCAGCCCATAGTGAGTTATTCATAGACCTCACTCTGAACCCTTATCTATCATAATAGTAATCCATTCATCACTTCACAAAATATATTCATTCACAAATATATTGTCAAGCGCATGCCATGTGCACAGTGCCAGGCACAATGCTAGATGCTGGGAATACAAAAAAATGAATACAATGTGACTTCTGCCTGGAAAGAGTTTATAGTCTTGAGAAGGAGATATACATGCAAACAATTAGGTAGATTGTTATAATTTGGAGGTAAGGTTGTCCTGAATCCCTTCTACTGATGAATGCACAGAGAATATGGGGCATCCATGTCACTGAGGGATTGAGTTCAAGGGTTAGGGGGTTCAAACAAGCTTTGCTGGAGAAGATGTTATTTGAATGAAGACTTATACGATGAGTAATTTTCATTCCCCACAGCAAGAACTATTTGTCAGGACTCCCTTCCCCTCCTTCTGGACCACAGGAAACGGGAACTCCAGGCCCGACAGGAATGCTACCGGTGAGGGTGACCTAATTTGACTTCTTTCTCCATCATTATTCTGATCTCAGACTTAATCACCCTGTTACTAGCTCTGACCTCAGTTCCAACTTTGTGGGCCAAACTACGATCAGGACCATTATTTAAACCTCAATCTAATACTGACCTTGAGTTCAGACCCAGAACATCGGTACCAATAATTGTCCCAATATCATTAGTGAATCCATACTCATCCCTAGCTGTCCTTGATGTGACCCAGATGTCATATATAGCCTTAATATTGATGAATCCCAGCCCATCCTTAGCCTCACCCCCAAAATAGTTATGATCTTACTCCCAACACAAACCCTACTCTAAACCAGGCCTGGACGTTTATGTCATCTTCAAATGCTACCCTGATCTGAAGCCTCAGGGAGAAGATTCTGATTCTTTGTCACCTACCCAGAAAGTGGGTGTTTTCTAGGAGTTTTATTTTCAAAGCATGTCTTTAAAAGTTAAGGT